GGGAAACCACAGCACTTTGGGGTATGTTGTACATCTGTGGCATAGCTCTCTCAAAGGGACCGTATATACAATCTTGGTCTCTGTGACTCTTCTTCTGTGAGCTTTAGGGATTTCACAGCATGCTAAAAGCCCAGAAATTTGCTATCCCCCTTCCAAGCCAGACAATGGGCCTGCGGCCTCACCAACAATGTATGACTGCAGAAGCGCTGGCTAGAGCCCATCTCCAAATTGGATTGGGAAGAGTTGGATCCTGTCGTTTTGTTTTTTATTCTAATGTTTGTATCCTTTTCACACAGCTTTCCTTATGACTGGCTTTTATTTGGCCCTCAAGCTTAACATTTGGAACTTCTATTTGTTGGGTTTTTTTCATCATCTCGGAAAATAATGTTGATTCTTCCAGTAAGCATCTTTCTTTTGTGTTTTGTTTCATTTTCTATTCTATATGAGTTCCTATCCAGTAGCTCATTGAAACAACTGAAGCAATTAAAGCAACCAAGTAACTAACATCTGGTATGTGTTTGCTTACTCTCTTATACTCTCTCCAGGGCAAGAAGTGTGTGCTTTGGAATGGTTAGCAGTTTATTATGTTATATATGAATACTTGTTGTTTACAGGAGATCAAAGAGGCTAATGTTGCACTTCAAGTTGAGAGTTGCAAAGTTTGTGGTAGCTCTATATTCTTAGGATGTTCATGACACAGGCTTTGGCACTCCAGGAAAGCATCGTTTCCAGCTGAGCACAGTTTTACCCTTGAGTAAAAAAGTCGGTCGAGTGAGTAAAGGATTCCCTTGAGTAGAGAGCGTGTTGTGCTGAGACAGAAGTTGTCATCTGTGGTCTTTGCCCTGTGGCTGGAGTCACTTGTTTAAATGCCACAAATTGTTCTGATGGTGCCTGGCACAACAATGTCCTCGTCCATGGCTCAGGGATCAAGGTCCCTGCAAGTCAAACAAGACATTCTTCAGATCATGAAGCTCCTCTTGACATAGTTATCATGAAACTTTCCTGTACATTCTTGCCTTAATCTAAAAATCACTTAATAGTAGTATTATAGCAGGTTCTGGATCATGGCCTTCCTAACCAAGATCCATTTTCTCTCTGTATCTTGCACACATTATGACTACAGTGCCCTCAAAACAAAGCAGTAAATTGTTGCTCACTGAATTTATTATACCAAGCAATTACATGGAGGCACCATTATGAATATAATCTGCATAATCAATATGGATTTATATTGCTGTCTCAACAGTAAGTCAGAATCTGGTGTGCTAAGGATTTGCTGAGCACTGAGTTCTTGCTTTAGTTACTTCTGAGTAAAACTTGCTTTGTTTTTGTTATGGTCAGAAACGCCCCTACATAATCTGAGATCTTGCCTGGTTTTTATAATATTAGCTTACATTGCTAGGGCTCTCATCTTAATGAATTGCTGAAAGTGAAGTAGAGATTTTACTCACTGAAATTAATCAATAAATAGAGTCAGTTTGGTTTGAATATACTTTGACCTCCAGTCACCCCAGTCCTTGAGATTTATTATTTTTTTTAATTTATAGTGTTGTAAAAACACAGCTTGGCTCTAGATCATGAATGAAGTGTGGTACTGTTTATCAGCTGAGTCCTACTGCCCTTCATCTCTGAGTAGAGATCAGTGCTTTTATTTTATGTCTTAATCATTCCTAAAAGCTGAACCTTGGGAAATGCCTGGAGGAACTGTGTCTTACAATCATTCTGTTAGCTAGTAAATACCTGTCTTCAAACTACACCTTAAGGTGTAAAATCACTTCTATGTACACAGTTTATCATGCCATAAAAAATAACTGTTCTCTGTCTTGCTTAGTTAGAAAGCAGTATGACTCATATAATGCTTCTTTTCCCCTCCATGTCTTAGCTGAACAAGAACTTTATCTTGGTTGTATGGTCGGCTATGCACACAGTAAAATTAATGTTTCAAACTAATTTGGATTTAAGATAAGTTCTTTAAAGGGGTTTATAGTGTGGCCAGAAAAAGAAATGCTTATTCCCATTTTTCAAATAACATTTTTCTTTCATAAATATATGCTTATATAAATAAAGCTCACTCTGGATAGAGATCTGTTTTTGCAGAATTAATTACCAGAGCAAATATGTAGTTTCAGCATTTTCTGAGCCTGGTTGTTCGTGTGTTATAGGTGTCAGTAGTTATTATAAACAGGGAGATTACTATGAGATTTTCAGTAGCTTTGGTTGGAACGAGTCCCGTGAAGAAGCAGAATACGTGAGGTTTATAGCATCAGACCCTGCGTTCCTACTTGTATGAAGGACTATAAAAAAATAATACAAGCAAAATAGAGAGAACAGCACTGAGTAGATCGCTAGTGATGTTTGTGACAAACCTAAAAAAACCCTTGCATGTGGGGAAGATAAAGGCGAGGTGATTGAGAAGGTCATGGCTCAGAAAGTCATTTGTAACCTCCCCCTAAACAGAAAAATGTATCTGTATTAAAACCTGATGTGCCTTAACTCGTGCCTGGAAACCCTGCCACCATGAGCCCCCCAGTCATCTGTTTCTCTGTTCTCACCCCGCTTGGAGGGCACTGGATTGGCAAGAAGGCAACAGAAGTCCTTTCCTTCGTGGCAGTTGCAGGGAGTTGCTGCTCCTCTAAACAGTAGGTGTTCTCCATCACAGAGAAAATAAATCACTGCATTTTACAGATACTATGAAACAGCTGGAGGGATTCAACTTCTGGCTGATAAACTCTTCAGCTCCCCGGGCAGTTTGGCGCTTTCCCTCCCAGCGTGGATCTGTATCTCCATTTCCTTCTGCTCTCCTTGGCATTTAATCAGAAGTCTGAACCCAGTTTTTAAGGCTTTTCCCATTTCCATCTTTCGTTATAATCAACAAGTGTCAAGGACAACATTGCGCATGAGGCAATGGCCTCTGTGAAGCAGGATGGGGTCTTGCTGCAGTAAAAGGAGGTTGGGAGCTCTGCAGCAGAGTGGGTCCCTCCCTCTAAGGCAAGCAGCCTCGCTGGATCCTCCCATTTGGGACGATAGACTTGGGATCAGTAGCTGGAAAATGGCTCCACCTCCACGATGCAACCAGTTCAGTCAGTTTGTTTTAGAAATGATGAAGAAGTCAGTTCTGGATTAGATAGAGGTGCCTAAGAGGTTGCATAGTGAGTTACTTCGGGTGACTGACGGAGCTGTAGCGAGCAGGGGTGGAGATGCAGACTTATCTCTGTTCAGGGTATTCACAGTTGCTTCATATCAAGAGGCCAGTTCAGTTCAGTCACGTCTTCCCTTCTCCACAAGACCCCATTGCTCTAGTTCTTTATTTGGAGCTATAGAATGAAAACACTTGCTATCTTTACAAATTCAGGCAGTGGGGCTATATGGCTCAAAAGAACTAGTCCATTAATACAAGTACCTGAGGCTGAATGAAAGCTGAATTATTCTAGCTGACAGTGAATAAAGATTGTGGGGTAGGGTTCTTTTTTTCTTTTGCCTCCTACTTGTTCTGGTGGTGTGAAGTGGGGCTCACCGTTGAGGCCCAGTATCCCAACCATCCACTCTGGCACTTGTTAAAGTCTACAGTGACTCCTGATTGATGAAGATGCCCAGGTTTCTTTCATGTGAAGAAGTGCTGGTGCTCCTAATGCCGACATAGAGCAGGGATGCAACCATGGGGCACACACTATGAACAGGGAAATAGATATAACCTTAATGACCTTCATTAACTGAGTCAGGAGATCTTGAGGAGCAGCAAAAAATATTCAAACTCTAACATGTCCCAACTTTGAATCACAATTGGTGCTGTTGCAGGAGGCACTGAAAGATGGACAGGTATAGAAATTACTGTCTGTTCTTTGAGTAGCTTCCCCAAGCCATTACAGAGCACCAAAGCAATTTCTTTGCATGATATGAGTCCATCTGTTAGGACTGGAGAATTACAATGCTCTTGGCACATTTAAAATTCATTGACTTCCATATTAAATTGAAATGAATTAGCTTAGTATACATCAATTGATGTTTAAGTGTCAGAGATCAAAAAAATTTGCTTTCCTCATGATCAGAAGTTACATATAATCTCATAACAAGTGTAGGAACTGCCAATTTTGGCTTGAAAAAACAACTGTTCCTTAGAAGGGAAGCAAGAGTTAAGTTCTCCTGAAAAAGTTAACTTACTCACTAGTAACTATATCTGCCTTTTTGAATTCAGTTTCAGCTGAGTTATTTAACTTACAGTAAAATGTGGAAACATTGAAATGTCCTTCTGTCTATCTGCAGGTATCCACAGTTACTTGCTGAGGTAAAATTTCTATGCAAGTTCCACCTCTGGAAGCTCCTGTTTCCAGAAATGGCATTTCAACACAAACTTCTCAGCATTACTGTAGTGGTCGTGGCTATGCTGTGGCAGAAGAGCTTCTGGAACTGACCAAGGTCTAAGAGGGTCGTGACACTCCAGGTAAGTAGGAAGGCAGGTAGAAAAATATCTCAAGGGAGTACAGATACCCAAATATGTACTAGATAAAACTCTGAAGTCAGGAATTGGAAAACTTCAAATGCACATTTGATATGTTTTCAAGAATACAGAATGCTCTTCTGTGGATGTCTCCAGAAAGAAATTAATTGATATGACAACGGAAGTAATTGCAGTCCACATTCAAGCAGGTAAGGTTGAAAGTAGCAGATTATAAATTGCAACATCATATAAAGCAATACAGCTCTACTGAAACCATAATTGAAAGACACCTGCTTTTAAGCTTTGTCCTAAATGTTTTGATGGTTTTCTGTCTTTAACCCAAAGATTTTTTACTTCATTGCAGTAAATTTATCTCATGAGTGTTAATTTCAAACCATCAAACTGATTTAAACCTACTTCTGTGAAGTGCTAAATAATGGTATTCATAATGTCGTTTCTTTTTTTGCTATAACATTTCACAGTAACTGGACATGGAAAAAAGAATGTGTCACAAAAGCAAAACTGAATTAAATGCTCTAACAATATCTTACCTTCTTTTCAGATTCAATGTAATCTCGCTGGGCACCAGCAGTGAAACTCTTCTGTTCAAAATGGTTTATGGTGAATTTTTCCACAGACCTGGCAAAGATGCAGAACTTATCAATTTGAATGTGGGTGGCTTTAAGCAATCAGTGGATCAAAGCACCTTGCTCCGATTTCCCCATACCAGACTTGGGAAACTTCTCAAATGCCATTCAGAAGAGGCTATTCTGGAACTGTGTGATGATTATAGCGTTGCAGACAAGGAATATTACTTTGACAGGAATCCTTCCTTGTTCCGATATGTTCTGAATTTTTACTATACGGGCAAACTTCACGTCATGGAAGAACTTTGTGTCTTTTCCTTCTGCCAGGAAATAGAGTACTGGGGGATAATCCTGCTGCAGCAATCGGTACCAAGAAAGGAAAGAAGAAGGTCCTGAGAAAGACTGGGATCAGAAGAGCAATGACAGAAGTATAGATTCCTCTAATGAAGAGTCATCCATATTTGATAAAGAGCTGGAAAAGTTTGACAATCTGTGTTTTGGTGAAATAAGAAAGAAGATCTGGGTCAGAATGGAAAATCCTGCATACTGCTTGTCTGCCAAGTTAATTGCCGTGTCATCCCTGAGTGTTGTCTTGGCGTCAATTGTGGCCATGTGCATTCACAGCATGCCAGAGTTTCAAAGGCTGGACGCCAATGACAGGGAGATTGAAGACCCTGTGTTGGAAGCCGTGGAGATTACGTGCATCATCTGGTTCACTGCTGAGCTAGTGATCAGGCTCATCACTGCTCCGAGTCAAAAGAAGTTCTGGAAGAAACCACTGAATATCATTGATTTTGTCTCTATTATCCCATTTTATGCCACCTTGGCTGTGGATACAAAGGAAGAAGAAAGTGAAGATATTGAAAACATGGGGAAAGTAGTTCAGATCCTGCGGTTAATGAGGATATTTCGCATCCTTAAACTGGCCAGGCACTCCGTAGGACTGCGGTCTTTAGGCGCCACTTTGAGACACAGCTATCAGGAAGTTGGACTTCTGCTTTTGTTTTTGTCTGTTGGGATTTCTATTTTTTCAGTGCTTGTCTACTCAGTGGAGAAAGACGATGACTCATCAGAACTGCACAGCATCCCTGTTTGCTGGTGGTGGGCAACCATCAGCATGACCACTGTTGGTTATGGGGACACTTACCCGGTCACACTTGCTGGAAAGCTGCTCGGCACCCTATGCATTATCTGTGGGATACTAGTGGTAGCACTTCCAATCACCATTATTTTCAATAAGTTTTCTAAGTACTATCAAAAACAAAAAGATATTGATCCAGACCAATGCAACAATGATAGCAAAGAGAAATGTAATGACCTACCTTATTTTAACATTAGAGATATTTATGCAAAAAAGATGCACTCCTTCATTTCTAGCCTTTCTTCAGTAGGAATTGTAGTCAGTGACCAAGATTCAACAGATGCCTCCAGCATCCAAGATATGGAGGATGTTTATAACGCAACATCTTTGGAAAATGGTACAGGAAAATGAGTTGAATCACTTTCTCTTCCCTTTATTTCTCTTCTGATTCTTAGTAAATGTGGACTTACAAACTTCAGTGAATTTATTAAGAACAGTTAATTCTCAGGGTACTTAACTCTCAGCCATATTGGACATTCTTTGCTCTGAGGATGCCATACAAGCTTCATTGTTTATATAAGGCTTTAAAATATGCCTCATATGGTGATTTAGTTTTTACACAACTAATGTTATGCATTTTTTGGCAGAAAAAGTCAGGAAAACGGTTTTAAATGTGAGATCGGCATTTGTTTGGGTTTGTGGGGGTTTTTTGTTTGGTTGGTTGTTTTTCCCCTGCAGCAATCTGATAGCTTATACAGAATCTGCTTTTAAAGCAGATTATATTATAATTTGCTGCTGTTCAGGTAGAAATATATTACAAACATGGAAGAACTATCACACAAGTCAATGAATTTTTTACCTGCAAATACATCAGGAGAAAGAAGGAATTACGTACATGTAAAACTGTGCTCACTAGCACATTTATGTAATCTTGGAGTTGGGAACCCATTTCCTAAGTTGGGGCAGAAAATGTGTTAGTACATATTGTTTTTACTCCATGGAAGCATAATATTTATGAATTTCTTTCCAAAAGCACAATACATTTTTAGTTTGTTAAAATAAATTAATCCCATTGTGCCTATATTTTTCCCAGTGTCCAGCATGGCCAAGCTCTATCAGGTCCTCAATCGTCTAAATCAGAAGTTGCAGGATGAAGCGTGTGGCGTAGGGCAGGACAGGAGCTTATTGTACCTTTTAGCACCTCTTCTGCCATTGCGAACCTGAGCAATTCTGGTGCCTGGAGAGGATCCTGCTGTGATTAAGACCACCCTGGTGGCTTCCCCAGAGGCTTTGTTTTGTGGACACTGAAGCAAACGTCTGTGGTGGTCTTTAGAAGTTATTGCTCCCTGCTGTCAGCGCTGCTCCTTTGCTGGAGGTTACTGCCTCGGTGGTAGGAGCAAATGTGAGCAGCATCTCGGCTGCGCCGGTTCTCAGTCCAGGGCTGTAATGCCAAGCAACGGAGATGTGTGGACATGCTGTCCGCTACCATATATCGCCCATCAGAGAGGTAGGGTGGGCACTGCATGTGGGCACCCATATATTAAACTATTTCGTCTCCTTTTTCTGAAGCTCATCTGTCGGTGATGGCAGCTTTCCTGCTTTGTACTATGGGCTGGAGCGGTGCTCATTGCCTGGCAGAGTGCTGCAGCTCTGTGCGTTCCTCTCCTCTCCAGGGATTTCCTATGCAGCCAGCTAATCCTGCTCTGGTTCAAACTGGATCTTCTAGGGCTATTTAAAAGGGAAGCCAGCCCTTGAGCCTAGCATAAAGGAGTGCTGGTGAAACTCGAGGACCTTATAGAAGTCCATAGTGGTTTTGAACACTCATTTTCTTTCATTTGTCTGGTGACTAAAGCAGATGCTGGGCATCGGAGAATTGAAGATACTGTGATGTTGATATTTTCCTTAAAGAGAGGCTTCACTTTTTTTTTTTTTTTTTTTTTTTTTTTTTTAAAATTATTGGGCCAAACGCTGAAGCCCTTACTCAGTTTCTACACAGGCAGATCAAACTCAGTAGGAGTTGACTTCAAGACTGAGTAAAACCAGAAGATGGTAATCGATTTTAGCCTCTGCAGAGGGTTGATTTTTCAGATGTCTGCCAGGTTTTCTATTGCAAAATACACTAAGTAGCTGAGATGCACTGATATTTACTGAGGCACAGAGCTCTAACCTCTTTCTGAGATGGAGAAACAAAAACAAATGGGATGGATCAACCTATACCTCAGAAAGAGGTGTCCCTCAGGACTGCTGTGCACCAATATAGTGATGTGGGACTTAAAGAGAATATTTTGAGCTTTGGAGAAACTTCAAAATTTGGCTTATTACTTGCTGAGTGTCATAAGTGTATGTGATGCTTCACAGATAATTAAGGTTAATTCTTCCCATAGTTAGTGCAGGAATACCAAAAGGGAAAGTTAGCCTAAATGTGTTTTGTTCTTAGTGAACAATTAGCGTTACAAAGATGCAATGTTATAAAATATTAAATATGTATGTGCATATGAATATAATAGGAACCAGCAGAATAACAGCATAAAAATTACTCTCTGTCCAAAGAAACTCTCTTGGTAGTCTCCATATAAAGATATATTACAATGCCACTGAAGTTCAAAAGCAATGAAATGCAACAAAAACTGCAAGAAATTTGTACTAAATATTTAAAAAAACCTGTGACTGAAAAGTCTAATCTTACATGTAAATCATTACCCAAGGATCACAGAATATATAACTTTTTGTATTAAATTTTACTGACTGGTAATTTGTCATAAAATTGATAAGTTCTTGATCAATCATGTGAATCAATCTTAAGGCTGTGACACTGTTTAAGTTCCTCTGACTTTTTTTTATGCATAGATACATCTTGCAGCAAAGTAAGGCATGTCTTTTGGAACATATCAGAAGGTAGAGAACATATCCATGTATCATGCAGCGTATGTTACTTTGATTTCTGGGATGAGATCTCGGCTTTTTTCAAATCAGTTGTATCTTAAAAAATGGCTTCGTTGTTATCTGTTCCCTTTGCTGGAATAAATCCAGCATCTTGGTTTCACATAGGTGTAACTGGGAGCAGGATGTGAGCCCTGTTTCATGCCAAAAGATACCCCCGTCCAGACAGAGCTGCAGTCCTGTAACACCCACTGGTACTAGGGAGTGTCACAAGTCTTGAGTGCCAGAAAAAAGCAGGTGAGAGCAAATACTGAGATACTGCATGTTCTTCCTGCTAGTAAAAGTTTTTAGTAGAATAATTTACTAGTAAGAGATAAGTGTAAGAGGGGATTGTTTCTTATTTAATTTGTCTCCTTTCTTGGTCTAGAGTTACATGTTATCCATATGTAATATCAGTATCAACGAAAGGTAGATTGTCTTTATTGCTTTTGTATTCCCGTACCATATGTTTTTCTCTTTAAAAACACATCCTAAATTCTCTCCACCCAGCTGCTGTGTTTCAGACACCAAAGCAGAGAAGATATTACTGTTTCAATATGCATCCCATTTTGTACAGGAGAGATTTGTTTGTCTTTATATAAAACAGTTTCCTGGCACATTTTTAGTTTTTTTGTCTTGATGGCAAATGCTTCCCCTTCGATAGTCATTATTTCCAGAGTAGCATCCGTCTTTGCAGCGTTTTTCCCTAGTGTAGCCTGGGAAGACACCACTGCACCGTGTTGCAGTTCCTTGTTTGAGCAGCTTCCAATTGGCAGGGGGTATCGCCCAACTGCCCACAGCTCGTGCCTTGCTGGGAGCAGGCTCTGTCGTTGCCACCATTTTTCAGTGTGTGTTAGAAGAGGGAAAAGGCCAATGTAGAGGAATGAGAAAAGAGAAACGGGGAGAAGGTAGGAAGCTGTCAATCAAAAGGGATGACGGAAAAGCCTGAGAGGACCTTTGAAAGAGAAAGAAGTTGACAGAAAGAGTCCTCACTTGTCTTCACTTTATTTCTTGTTTTTTCCACTAGTGCTTTTCTTCCTTTTCTGCCCCTTCTGCCTTGCATCCCCTGCTGCTAGCACCCTGGCCTCCCTTCCCACCCAGCCTGTGGTCCAGCAGTCCTGTTTCTGTCCCAGAACAACGGTCTTTCTGAGTCCAGAAAGGCATGTTTCATCCACCTGGATGGCAGCAGGCAGAATTTAGCGGGGATTAATTAGTGAGCCCTCCTGCTGTGTATATGAGCAGTGATTAACACACTTACAGGCTGTGCTTTTTTGTAAGAAAAGTCACAACGTGGCTCAAATCAACGAGCGTAAACGTGAGCTAAATAAACGGCACATCTGTGTCAGGCCTGTCAGCGAAATATCACTTGTGGCTTCGGTAGAAATTAGTGTCAGGCACCATAATGCGAAATATTACCATTTAAAAGCAGACTCCATGCTGACTCCCGTGCGAATGGGTTGCTGTCAGGGAATGCTGAGAGCATCAGGCAGATTTGACTGGCAAAGGCAGTACCTGGGCTCACGGCGTGCCAAGGGCTCCTGACAGGCTGCTGTGTATTTATACATTTATTCATTTCCACACATTCCTAACATCTAGAGCAAGTGACAGAAAACCACTAAGCTGTGGAGGGTTTCTCTAATATTTTTTGATTAGCTGACAGTGTTTGTGAAGCTGCTAATACCTCTTCATCCAAAAGAGGACATTTCTCAAACAAAATCAGAATAATCCTGTGCTAGATGTGCAATTTGTGGCTGATAGTAGCTTGGTCGCAATTGGTAAATATTGCTGTCTGGTACTGTATGGCTGCAGTGCTGTTGCTTGTATTTCTGAAGTGTTTATGCTCTGTCAATCAAGAGACATAAAAATGCCATTAAAACCATCTCAGCACTTCCCTGCTGCACAATAATTGCAGTGTCTCTTCTAAGCACAGCAAAATGTCATGACTAGCTGAGACCTCTTTTTTAATTTCTTGTGTATTTGTAGTTAATTTTTCATGATGAGCCTATGGTCCAAGCACAATCTAGCAGAAGAAAAAGTCACTGTGTGTCCCTAGACAAGTTACAAGGCTTTGTTATTTACTTCCACGCTGGGCATTGCCCTCCCACCTGGCTGGCACAACTAAGGTGCACAAGGTAGTGCTGTAGTATAGGCTGATAACTGTTATAGGTAGTTAAGGAGTAAAAGACAGAGCTCCTGGGGGGTGGATGTATTTTATATCTAATTGTATATAGGCCCTCTGGGCAAAGCTCATTTAGGTGTATAATATAATCAGATTAAATATAAAGTATGACACTTGAGAAACCACCTACATCTCATATCTTTTTAATGAACATATTGGACGGGGCAGTCTTTGCTCGGAGTTTTAGCAGGTCAAGGGCCACAGGTCAAGGGCTCTCTCATCCGCACACACATCAGTTTTCCCCGAATCATATACACCAGTGGGAGGGAGAGACTTTGCAGCATCGCCAAAAGGCCCATGAACCTGTAGGCCA